GTTTGTTTTGTACCTTTTTTGATGTGCATATACATGTCTTATAGTTGTACAACGAAGAAATCATCGATTTACTGGCAAATGAGAGAGCAACGTCGTTCAATATCCGTATTCATGAAGACGCTCAAGGAGAGATCTATCTCCACGGAGTAACGAGCAGACCAGTATCGGATTTGCACTCGGTACTTTTTCCTTCAGTATTTCAAACTGCTTAATATATCCCAATTTTTTTGTCTTCCTTGGGTTTTTTTTCATAATTTATTCTTCTTAGTTGAGTCTATGACGTTAATTTTTGTTTTATGCTTTTTCGTTATATGTGTCTTTCACGTACATGCTAATTTATGTCTATTAGAGTCCAGTATTTTAAAAATGAAGAAAAGTAACAGAGCGACAAAATTTCTTTGCATTGAGGCTTGTGCATGAGTATTTCCAAAACAAATTAAACTTTCTTATCTTGTATAGAAGTCAAGTTTGCCATTTCTGAAGTTTCCAGTATGCACTGGTTTTGTAGAATCACTTTGAACAAGAAAATTCAGTGGCATAAGACCGAGTCTTTCTAGACCTTGGACATCCTAAAGAATGGAGCATTGAACCGTACTGTGGCGGCAACGAACATGAATGAGCAATCGTCACGATCGCATGCGATTTTCTCCCTTCATATTAAGCAGCAAAGAGTAGCTGTTCCGGATGTTCCATCTCCAACCCAGGTACTTGTTGCAAAGTTTTTTTTTTGAACTGCTCGGAAGTTAGGTATTTGTTACTTTCAGGAGATTGAGATGGAATTACTCTCAGCTAAGTTCCATTTTGTGGATCTTGCTGGTTCAGAACGACTAAAGCGAACTGGTGCCACTGGCGATAGGGCCAAAGAAGGAATAAGCATCAACTGTGGATTGGTGAGCTTATTAATCTTCAAATCCCAAAGCTCTCAATCTGCTTTCTATGCACATATTCTGCTTCTTAAGCTCGCTCTCGGTAATGTAATCAGCGCACTTGGTGGTGCAAATGGAAAAGTTAGCCATGTTCCATATCGTGATTCCAAGTTGACAAGGTTACTGCAGGATTCACTGGGAGGAAACAGGTGGGACAATTTTTTTCAGGGATCTTGGTTTTTATCATGTGCGATTTTCTTTTTTTTTTCTAAATTCTAGCCGAACTTTGATGATTGCATGTGTATCGCCGAGTGACAGCGATTTTGTT